AATACCTCAAATGATGGGTTTTGAAATTCAGACTAGGGACACACGTACCCTCTCCAAAGGGGCCTCGATGGATGGAGTGGCGGATCCAAGGAAGGGGCCCGGGGAGCCCACCCCCCTTATTTTTAGACCAAACAAAAATTTTGTTTGGAGACCAGGCTTCCCCCTTATCTAAGGGGTCTGGATGACCGGGCCCCCCTTTAGCTCAAGGTTTGGATCTGGCACTGGGGTGTCCAGTAAGTAAACTCTGATTTTTATTTGACATAAGAAGGGGTTAGACATTTCCTTACCTCTTCACCATGGATGGTCATCAATCCCTCACAGGGGCAAAAGTGAAGCACGAAGGTGAAGATCCTATCGTCCTGCTGGAATGGTTCTGTGTTGTTGATGGACCAGCAAGGGGTGACCTTGGAGGAGTAAATTTTGGCCGACAAATAGGGAAGGGGTGTCTATGAATCTCTCCAAGTACCATGGGCGTGGTATTCAGTGATGATGATGACGATGATGAGTCTGATGCCGAGGAGCTGTGAGGATCTTCGTGTATGTGGTTATCGTCATCAAAGTTTAGGTGCTCTGAGTCGATGTCAGGTGAACAGTTTATGGGTGAAATGTCGCAGAGGCGCTTTGATGGGCTTACACCTGGTTCAGTTATGCCTTCTGTTGGACCTGGGTAATCAAGACAAAACAATAGGGACCTTGAGATCCAAGGATGACAATGGCAGCGAAAACGCCACTTAAAAAGTGAACTCGCGTTCTCTCAACCTTTATTGCCATTATTCTAGGGGATCTCCCTTAGAGTTTTGTGGTTGCTTGTTTACATCCTCTACAGGTTGGGAAATTAGACATCTTCATGTCGTAGTCATGCAGTGAAGAAAATGGCAAAGAAATGTGCAAGAAAAGCATGATGCATGGGCAAAGTTGTTGTTTTGCTTAAACCTAATGCTTTTTTGACATTCTCGCCGTCACCAGATCTTATGATCCCTAATGTTTTTAAGACCTGTTCAACAGACCAAACATTTTTAGAACAAACAGTGTTCAATGACATTGGGAAACGAAGGATGAGGAGCACCCTGTGAGTGGAGAAAAACCTTCCTTATCTATCTTGTTGAAGGTGGCAAAAAAGGGGCTCTGCCATACAACATGGAGTTCCTTTGAAGCCTACGTACCAAACCCCAATTTTTGGGCTGATAAGATCTGTTTTCTTTCTCATTACACTAGTTTTTCCAGGGCACACATCATTTAAATACCATATACGCAAAGTTTAAGTGTGAGTTTGCGCATTATATCACGTTGCAAAACCTGTTCAAAACATAGCCAACAACTGACATGGCCCCAGCTTAATAACAACAAATGAAATGCTGGATGAAAAACAACTGAACTAATGATTATTCAAACCCGATTCAACATCATTCAACACTGTCTAACAAGGATTTGCAGCAGATCCATTATATCAATATTTCAACCTCATTTTATTCACACTTAGGTATTCATATTGAGTTCACAAGTGGAGGAAACTTATTCATACTATATTTTGAGTTCATAAGAAAGAGAAATAGACAGAGCATTACCATGATATTATACTTCTTAAGCCCAGGAGACATGCATAGTAAGGAAGAAATGGTCTTCTAGTCTCAGGGCCTGTTTACATGGAGGTGGGAGACCCCACTTGGGTGAAGTAACCAGCTTTGGTGGGGCAACCCGCCTGTCATTATAATTTGATCACATTTACATGATAGGTGGGGTGACCCACCACATGTTACCTCACCTATCTGGGGTCCCCCACCTTCATGTAAACAGGCCCTAAGCAGGTGTAAAGTATATTCTGGGCAAGACATTGGTGAAATTGGGCAAAAAATGGGTAACACCTAATCATGATTTACAAGGCATTGAAGTTGACTTACATTTTCTTTTTAATGATAAACTACTTGGTCGTAAGCATACAGGACTGAGACTTCTGCGCCTAAAAAGAAAAAGTTACAATTGCATAAAAATCCAGTTGGTCCCTATAACAACCTTACATATAATAACCCAAACCAATCCAGTCATTTCACAAAACAGCTCTTCTTCCATATAAAATTGTTTCTCCAAAAACACCTTAAAAATTATCCCATAGATAGTCGTCCTGTTGCTTAAGTTTTTGTTTTCTGCACACTTTGCACTCAAGCAGGTAAGTAATCTGGCTTGAGGAAGCCTATTAATAATGCCCCCTGCTTCGTTAAGCTTCCTTGTCACCTAAATTTACAATAACGTGGACATATTTATGCTAAGTTACACTGAACATTTGATTTCAAGCCAAATGCAGTTACAGCTCAGGATCTAGTTTTTTTCGAAGTATGTTTAGTAGAGTTAGAGTACAAGTATTTCAAGAAAGGTTGTCAGAAAAAATGTGTATCCGAAAGGTAATATGGGATGCGATCAATACTCTGTTCCTGACACTGCAGCTGTCGAAGTTCTGACTTTTGTTGCCTTCCTTTAGCACTCACAAACATATGTCCATGGCCTCTCTCACCATTCTTTCAAATTGTTTTGAATAGCAGTGAACTCAAAACCACCCACAATACCCTTTGGGATTGTCACATGCAGTTTATCCGACAACCTTTCTCGAAATAGCTGTATTTAGGAGCAAGGCTTTCACTTGAGGCCACTCACCCTCCGTACACGAAGGCAGATTATAATATCTGTTTGTTTGACTTGTGATATCTGGTACTTTGATTTGAATTATTGTTAAGTTACAGTTTTTTTCAATCAAAGAAGCTTATTATTCCTCCCAGTCAGTAACATGCTACAAAACTATTTCTCCAGTCTCAGGAAGACTGAAAGCAGAACATAATTTTATTCTTAAAATTGACAGCTGAGACATACAATTTGCCCCTTATCTCAACTTACATGGATAAACGCTATAAAGACTCTTTATTACAGACAATGATACATCGTGCCTATTCCTTGTCGTCTACAACAGAGGCTTTTAATGCAGAATGTGCCAAGTTGCGCTCTATATTTAGTTGCCTTGACTATCTAATGAGTGTTATTGATTCTGCTATCAAAAAGTTTCTTTTTCTAAATTCCTCAGCGAACAAAGCAGAAAGAAACAATGATGATAGTAGCACAGTAAGAATTAGTCTTCCTTTTAAAGATCAAGTGGCCGCTAATGCGGTTTGTAAGCAGTTACGCAATCTTAGCCATAAGATTGGCCCTACTTTGCAACCAGTTTTCGTGAGCAAGAAATTGGGGCAAGACCTTAGAGCCAAAGAAATCAAGCCGTCAATTGTTAATAAGCAGTGTGTTGTTTACCATTTTTCATGTGATCTGTGTGATGCAGATTATGTCGGGTACACAGCCCGACACCTTCATCAACGCATTGCTGAGCACAAAAAATTCGGCAATCGGTAGACATTTCTTAGAAGCTCACGGTAACAACAACCTTTTGAGAGAAAGCCAATTCACGGTTTTAAGAAAGTGCCAGAGCAAATTTGATTGTTTAGTATTTGAAATGCTCTTCATCAAGAAGCTTAAGCCCAATTTAAATATTCAGACGGACTCCATACGTGCGAAACTCTTTGTTTAATATTTTCTCACGTTACAATTTTTTAATCAGCTATTGTTGTTTTTTTTTTTTAGTATTTATAGACCAAAAATCACTAACTTATTTTGACTTGATAATGACGTTCAGCTAACGTCGAAACGTCGTCGCTTTTTAGCAATTTTTTAATCTTAAAATGATTTTAAGAAATGTTTTATCACAATTTTTTATAGTTAAATGCTTTTCAAAATCACTTCTTGTTCGTATCTCAACTTAAAGCATGAAAACAGAGTGAGTGAAAAACACAACAGCCTGGACACTACAGTCAAAATCAGGCCAAATGAATTATAGATTTGCCCTCACCAATACAGTCGAAGCTATTGTAAGCGACTGCATGGTAAAACAGAGGGTGGTTGCTTACAAGTGCTTCAGAGAAAATGTTTATGTTTAATGAGTGTCTTTATATCTAATATGACATGGCTAAACTTTATGTCCAGTTTTTTAGACCAAAAACAACCCCAAATCTAAATATTACAATCATTAGCGCAGTGTGCAGTTTCATTAAAGTGTTGATTTGTACAAATGTGACTCTGAGTGGTTGCTTACAAGAGCTTAAAAACAAAGGAAAAGTCTGGTGGGGTAATCCCAAAAGTGGTCGCCGTCGCTTAAGGGAGTGGTCACTTACCAGAGCTTTTCATTACAAAATTTAAGTCACCACTCAAACAAGGTTTCACAAAGGTGGTGGTAACTAGAGCTGGTCGCTTACGAGAGTGGTCACAAGGAGAGCTTTGACTAAAGAAATAAAATTCTTCTATTTTACACTTACGTAAAAGTTGGTCGAGTAGGACTAGGTATTGGACTTGGAGTGAGGCTTCTTGCATTTCTCATGGTTACTCCCTGGCAGAAGAATTCAAACAGATAAAAAGCATATTATTCTTTAGAAGTCTCAGATGAAAAAAATATAGGCTTCAAATATTTCAATTTTCTGGTAAATAGTTTGTTTTACCTCTTTTTGACAGTACAATCAATAAGCTGCCTGGCAACCTTTCAATCAGTATATTATCTAATATCAGATAACTAGTTTAAATGTACACATATGTGTGCACCACTTTTATGGTTGAAATGACAAGACTGAAAGATTGGAATTTGAATTCTTTCCCCCAAAATTGATGTTTTTTTTAGCAGGGGAAGCTTCATTTTACTTTTTTTTCACCAAAAAATCAGCACGGATATCTTTATTGAAGGAGGTTAAGCCCTCATCTTAGAACCTAAAGGTCTCTATTGTTTTATTCTTGTTACAGCATCCTCAGCCGCCTTTGAGGTTGTTCTCACTGCACCCACTGGTACATGTATTTACCCATTTTAAAGCACTAAATTGCAAAAACTTATAGTTACAATAATCTTTGGTTATTGTTATGGGTGAAGGATTTAATCCAGGAAAATGAGTGGGCATCTTCATGAACAGTTGAGCCAACAGTTTTGAGGCCAAAATGGTTAAAGAATCATTTTTCATCCACAGGAGAGCCACCGAGTTGAAACCTTGTGGGTGTGGTAGTAACTGAATGGAAACGACAGACACTGAAGAGCACTTTTTTTTCTGTTACTATATCCCTTCCTTTTCTTTTTTTGCAATATCTGCATTGTATTCAGTGTTCTTACCACGATTTTGTACACTGGAGTGCACAGGACCCATAAAGAAGCTAAAAGGGGGTAATGAGGGAGAAAAGCCGATCACAATCTTTAGGTACAGTTAACTCAATGTTTTCATAGGTCCGAGTCTTAGACAATGATGGCTATTTTCTTAAGACGCCATAACCAATTAAATTTTGGCCTATATTATAGGGAAATGTACGTATGTGTATGCATGCTTAAGTATGTTTTGTGATAAATTTCTTTTCCTTCTTTGTGCCCTTGGGACCCCTTGGGCTAATCATAGTGCAGCATTTCCCAAAAAAGTGCAGCAATGCCAGAATGCCGCCATCTGGTAAGAACATTGTGTATATTATACAGATACAACAGTTGGTTAAGTACTCACTCTCTGATTGGGTGGTGATGATGAAGATGGTGATGAGAATGGTTGTCTCTGATCATCAAAAGAGTTTCTTCGTTCGTACATATGAATGTCATTCTTATCAGGATCCTAGGAGATAGGACAATCTGTTAGTATGTTACATATTCAAATTACTAACAACGTAAATTCTTACACACTCAGCTTAAGAGATAGAATTTAACCATGCCAGCATTGTTCAAAAACTTTATACATAATTATGGTAACTTGGTTTTAAGGCCACCACCTAACTAATAGACCTCATTATCAATACCTGCCATCTTTGCACGTGCTTAACCCTTTAAGCCCCAGTATCCACATACAAATTCTCCAAACTGATCTCCATACATTTCCTTGAAGAATTAGTTGAGAGAATTTAGTAAAACATCAAGGCATTTTCTCTTTCGTGATCATTTTTTATATTCTCACAACCCTATCTCTTGACAATGTATGGAGATTATTAGGAGAAAATTGCTGTTGGTCACTATTGGGACTTAAAGGGTTAAGGAAGGAGGACCTTAGATAACAATGACCTCAACCAGGTTGGTCTCCAGCTGTTTCAGTGAAAACAAGGGTTTGGGTGGGGTGCTCAGTCTTGTGGGCTCATAAAACCTAGTCTCGGTCGTTCTTATTTAAGGATTTTCCTTAACCCATTCACTCCTGGAGATTTTGCCGAAAAATGCGTTTTGAAGCTAGTCGAGTGGTTTTCTGGTCACTGTTGTGCTATAAAGGGCTAAAACTTACCACAAACTGGTTTGCAGGTCGTACACTTCCCGGCCTTCTGATCCAGATGCAAAATATCAGCTTGCAAAGTTCGGCCATGCGCAGAATGCAAAATTTTGAGATAGTTTTTGGGTTTAAAAGTGACACAGCAGTCTCGACTTTTACTTTTCGCTTTCTCTCCTCCCTTCTCTTGCTGGGCATTTAGTAGGCTTCATTTCAGTGGGAATAGTTTTTAGGAAAGCTTTTAGGATCTTAGGATTAGGTGAAAGGAAAGGTAGGTGAGTAATGGAACAAGATTTTCATGGAGATTTTCGGGTCAGTGTCACGTGGTTTTTTGCTTCTTTCTCCAGTGTCCTTGGCTGAATTGTGCTAATTCTGGTATGGTTTGAAAGATCTCTTCACTCTGCACAAGTTAGCAAGGAAAGTTGTCCTTGACTGTTAAAACTGATGATGTCACAAAGGGTAGAAAGGACCTGGATCCGCACGGGCGGTTGCGGGCGGTTCAGGGGCGAATGGGTTAAGGAATGATGGGATAAAAGCGATCTCAGGTGGTTTCTCAGGGGGCAACCAAGTGATAAATTTTTCCAATACAAGAAATTGTGGTTGAGTTTGTTTATTCTTGACAACAGAAAATGAACAACTGTTTATTCTAAAGATGATAATGACAACTTATGGGTGGAAGTGATCACTGTTATTTTTTTAATGCAGTGACAATTGTAGATGTCCTCACAGCAAGCAACAATGGCCTTAATTTTGTTGAAGCTCAAACCATACATTTTGCATGACTATTGAATTGTCGTTTCGCTTTGAGAGAACAAACAAAGTCGACTGTGATTTTACCTTTTGTTTAGCCCCTGAAATACCACGTAACATTGCTTCTATCCCATCAATCCTACAGCGCATGCAAAGATGGCGGGTATCGTGAATAAGGTCTATTAAAACAGGGCTCAAAAAAGTCCCGCCTGGTAGTTCAGGACAAGTAGATTTTCTTGCTGGGCAAGTAACTTTTAAAGCTTACTTGTCCAATAGCAAAGGGTCCAGGAAAGTGATCCTCTAACAAAATCATTCACTAAGAAGGGCTAGAAGTGACCCTGGGCAAGCAAAATTAGGGAGCTGCTTACCCAAAGGACAAGCTGGAATTCATTTTTTGCTAGCCCAGCAAAAGTGAGCATATTGTGAGTCAGTCTTAACACAATTTTACTGGAATAGACACTTACCAGTAGGGTCCAGTCACTGAGAGAATGCGAAAGAAGAAGTTCACTGAGAAAGAGAGGGGAACAAAATGTTAATTCTTAGCAATAAATGACTAACCCTGAGGAAAATGGTGATTTTTTTCCCCGAGACCCTTGATGTTCCCTTAGGTGAAACCAAAGCAGGAAACACCACTTACTGTTTTCAGTGGAGATAGGCAAGATTATTTGCTTGGGTCAAATACACAGGGTTCATACAGATTCTTGGATCCAAAATACAAGACTTTTTCCAAAGCAATAATTTCTTTTTCCGGACTCACGGTTATCAAATAGGTGATCAAAAGAGAACTTTCAGAAAATGAAGGAACAAAGCTTTTTCCATGATGTGCTGCAAACATACAAGTGAGATTGAATAAGATTTGACCAGCATGAAAAAAACTTTCACCAGTAAAGCACTTATTGTAACTTTCAAGAAAACTCAAGACTTTTTACCATTTTTTAAGACTTTATCTCTATTTTCCAGACTTTTTCCAAGTGTGGGAGATTGTTGGGCAAATTTCAAGACTTTTTCAAGAATTTAAGACTCTGGATGAACCTGGTATACATACATTTCCCAAAGTTTAAAGATACACAAGCTGATCATGTGTGAGTCTAACTCCACTGGGACATGGTTAGAGAGTTTTGCTCTGACTAAAGGCCTGTTTACATGGAGGTGGGGAACCCCAGGAAGGTGAGGTAACCCGCTTAGGTAGGGTAACCCACCTTTCCACATAATTTCTCATTTTAATTTGATCACGCATTCATGTTAGGTGGGGTGACCCGCCACATGTGACCTCACCTATCTGGGGTCCCCCACATCCATGCAAACAGGCTCTAAGCAGTCTTCATTTTCTAGTCATCATTTCACCATCCCTACTTTTGTTTTTATTTTAAAAAAAGAGGGTCACCTAAGAGTTCATTTATAGAGGGCCTTAGATGAACAGTCATACCACACACCTTTGTTTACAAAGAATATTTCATACATGTCTTTTAAGACTGATTCTCAGACTCTGGGTGGAGAAGATAAGCTTACGTTTTGTAAATTATCAATAAACAATATTCCAAAGTATCAAAATGTTTAGAAGCTGCATTTGGAATATAACTATAGGCAATAACTCTAATAACTTAGAGAGAGAAAGATCAATTAAATGAAAATATTTTTTATTCAATTTGTTTTGTAAATTTACCTCTTCCATAATTTGAAAGCAATTTTAGTTTTGGTAGCTTTATTTTGCATCAAGGACTTGAAATTGAGCTAAAGTGTCTCAAATGTCTCTCAAAGCTAATTTCTGATACTTAACTGTAAACTGTAGCAGGAACGACTTATTAGAGGGTTTTAATAGCGGACAACTTAAAATGCAAGGTGGATAATTTTCAGGTATTGAACATTTATGCGTTGCCGGTCGACCAAGTTTAAGTTACCTTCCAACTTGTTTCTCCAGACTAACATCATCTATACTTGCTTCCTAACACGATAATAAACAAAACAATGCGTGTTAATACCGTTTATATTTTAGCTTGACAATTTTAAAAATCGGAAACTTCAGCCTTCTAAAACACTAAGACATAAAAAATAACTTAATAACGATAGCTAAATAAGAAATGAATCGAAGGCTTGCTAACAAACGGCAGAAAGCAACAACTCTCAATGAAGCAATCAACTGAAATTACAGTGTCTAAAGCCAGGTCCCCGATACATTGTACTCACTCGTTTGATCTGCTCTATTCTTGACGCGGGAGATCCCTAAAAAACGGATAAATGCAGTTTACAGTCAAATCATCGATCACAAGAACGGCACCAAGTCTATAGAATCAATGAACGTCCTTTGACATTTATTCGCGGAATTTTTACTAACCACATTCACAGCCATTTGGCTTGTAGAGAAGCGTCTTTGTCTTGAGGTGTGTATCGGCTGGAAGATAGGAATAGCCTCGCTCATTACTGCTGCGCTTACATTTGGCGCTGAATTAGATCGACGCAGCGTATTGGAAGGCAAATGCCCCAAATCATCGGTTTCCATTGCATTGGCCGCCATTTTGCTCTTGGCTCAAAGACAACATCTGCAAGCTCGCAAGGGATTGTTCCGGTCGGTGGCTTCCGCTCGGGCCAGTCTTAAAAAAGAATAAATCGCGGACTTCCTCCACAGAACGACCTTGTTGATCAGATGATACATCACGAACAGTACAAAGTTCTCTGAAACCAATATCAATTGCCAAATTCTGATGTAAAAAACGGTAAAGTAAATACTGTGTTTGGTTTTTCATTAACAATTAGCGAGTTTATTATGTTTCCTTCATGAACGCTTACTGATCATTCAAACATTGACGTCAAAAATGTCGTCAATTATAGTCATTTAAATCTAATTCCCTTAACAAAGCTATTTACGAAATCGAAATTGATAGTTGACACCAAGAGTCAGCTGGTCATTCAGTGCGTTCTTCACGACTACGTCTTGGTTTTCAAGTACCCATCCGACCACATTCTGCATGAAGATCACAAAACTCGATGGAAGGTCTCGCAAACACTAGCCTCCCACGCGGACATTTTAGGGCTTCGACACGCGGAAAGGAAATCGTGAAAAAGCCTTATAAACCTCTGCAAGGGAGGCTACGCCGAAACCTTTCATGACGAGCATTAGGGAGTTGCTTTCTCGTCCCAGATCTCAAAACTCTAGACATGTTTTGGGGTGAGAGATATGTGTGCGCGTGTGGGAAGGGAGGGGTAGGGGATCTTCTGTCCATGTATATAGGACGTGCCGCCGTATATCCAGGTATGGTTTCTGTCTGAGTGGTGGTGGTGTTGGGTTGGAATCGAGGATGACTTCTTGCTACCTAATAAAACTGACCGGGTGCTCGTCCGATGTTTTCGAAAACACCTCTAAAAGGAAAAAAAATTTCATTTCATAGGCGTGGCTTACAGGTCGACACATCTTCGGCCGAAGAAGCCACGCTTTTGTGCGGAAACACTGTACACAGTTTTCCCCAGAGTCGTACTTACGCGATGATCGGTCTTTATTGGTTTCACAGAAACCATTGTTGGATATATATTGTTTTTTTTTTGTGGGTTTCGTTCAAAGTCTTTTTAATCTTTTGTGTTACGTCATTTGATGATCGAACGCAACCGCAACACAAAGAAACTACCATGATGATGTCAATCTTTTCGTTTATGCTTTGTTTTTCAAATTAACCAATCCCATTGAGGTTATTGAGTTTTTATAAAACTTAAAAGGCTGTGGTTTGTTTGACAGTGCTGCATGCCAAACCGTTTCCTCTGGGATGAAGTTGTTGTAAACTTTTTTATAGGTTTTGAAAACCTTTGTTCGCCTTGTTGCCTAGTCCCTGTAGGGCGTCTTCCCAGCCCTTCTCGGTCAATTAATTCCACTGATGAAGGGCCAGGCCCGAAACGTTTGGAAAGGATAACTTCAACCCAAACACGGCACTTTTGTCCATGATTTATTTATTATTTTTAATGAACATTTTTTGGTTACTTCTATTTTCTAAAGTGCTACGCAGCTTAACGGAAATTCTTTCGTCATTTGTTGTCCGCTCGGTCAATGCCCGCTCGGAAAATGTGACCCGAAAACACACAGGCCGCGCGGAATAATGAGGCCTGGGGACTTGGCAAGTCACATCGCCCGAAGACAGGGGGCGTTGTCGTGTCATTTGAAAGAAAGGAATGGAGGCATTTCATAGAAAGATTGGACATGCCCTCATAGAGTCAAGATTTTCGATTTTTCTATCGAAAAATGTCTCTTGCAAAGTGCTCAATATTTAGATTTATTAACAATGGGTCCTTTGCACAAAACGGTTGCATGGTACAAAAACACCTTGCTGGAGGGAAAACAGAGAGTCTCAATGGGGTGATGGCTTTGACGGTTATCGGCTAAGATTTTGGCTCTTTTATGGCTATCGGTTAACTTTTTCAGTCACGGTTAACGAAAAAGTTAAAAATTAACTTCTTTTTGTTTCAAAAGTTAAATATTAATTAACCCCTATTTTTTGTATCTTTAAGTCAAAATAAAGGTCCTCGAATCACCTCGGGATGAAAAAAAAAAAAAATTCTTTTGAAAAAATTTTAACATTTGATAGATCATACTTTCTATAAAGTATTCCACTTCTTATATTATTTTACACATCGAAATGTCAATAGACAATTTAAAAATAATCTTTGTGAAAAAGCAAAAGCAGACACGCAAACGCCCAACCAAGGCCGGGGCGCGACATTCATTATAACAGAAATGGCCGTTTTCACACTAGAGGATTATTCGCATGAGACGGGTTATTCGTTTGATGGTTCGCGTCAGATAGGTAATACGTCTTAATTTGAAAATAGAATGGAATGAAAATGGAATTTTGACTGAACAATCCACCTGACTTTTGACGACGGGATTATCCGTTCCAGATGGCCTGTGTACAGCCGCCCCCTCCCCTCATAAAAAAATCGGAGAAGGGCTGTCTGTGGGGGAGGGGGCGACTGTACACAGGCTAGTCTTGGACAGATGACCCATTTCTAGCTCTAGTGTGAAAACGGCCAATAACAAAATTCCAGTGTCCAGTGCTTTTAATGATAGCGAAAGACTGTACGGAACGACTGTCTGCCGTTGCCTTGTCCGTAGGCCGCATTATTCCGCGCGGCTAATGCGTTCCGGGTCACGTGGTCCGAGCGAGTTCTCCACCGAAATTCGTGTTTCGTGTTTCGAGGGCAAGACCTCCAAAAAATTGCAAATATTAATCCCCAGCAAGAAGCCACACTTTTGCTATGGAAAAAATTAGTTCCCCGAGAGAGCGCCGGAAATGGAACCTAGGTTTTGGTTAACACGTAAAAGGCGCTCGCCTAACGTGCGCACGGAGTCGCACTAGCGGGAAATAAAAAACGCAACCATAAGCGAGTTTAGCACCTTCCTTAAAAGTAGCAAATCTAGCTACCAATTTCTTTTACGGTTAACTCATTTGTACCCTATTTACGGCTAACGGTTACAATTTTTCAATTTTTACGGCTATCGACTAAAGTTTTTGGCCGTTTTACGCCTATCGGTTAACCCCATTGAGACCCTCAAAACACTGTGGGATCTTGAAAGGATATAGTCATCATCATCAATCTTTATTTATACACGAAATCGTATCATTTTACATGGTCTTCCTAGGAATCGTGTTTAAAAAGTCCAACCTCCCATGTGCGACCAACCCAGTCAAAGAAACTCCTCATAAAAGATTACCTCCTGTAGATCCTCCGCGGGCTGACAGTTTTATAACTCTCCTGTTTTTAAACTCTTGTAATCAATCACCTGGACGTATGGTCTGATCTCTGTGATCGCTGAATGTACTATGCTACTTAGGATATAGGAAGAACTTTTTATGACAACACGGAACTACACATATGGCAACTCAGAAATTGTAGGGAATAAATTATCTTCCATAAAGATGTGTGCAGACCTCTTCTTGAAAGAGATGGCCCTGTGGTTCTATTCTTGTAAAAA